CAGTCAGCTCACAAGAAGAATTCCAGCAAAGGTGAATTTTTCTCCTTTGCTTTAGTTCAACCACCTAACTTAGGTTTCTAATGCTAGTTATACCCAAAAGTATTCAATACTGGCATTTTCACACAGAGTGGAGGCTCATGTGACCAGGTATTTGTGCATCCAAACACGCAGAGCAGTGATTTCCTTCAGGCTGTAGCAAAATAACGATTTTTAACCCTAATTACACAGGTATCCGATCTTAACTAACACGCTTAAACAAGATTTAAAGACGTTTTAGAACTTCTGTCCTCGTTCTTTTAAAATACAACTCTTAGCAGCCTCCAGGCAGGGGAGTCCACAAATTCCTCCAAATTCCACACAGCTCTTTTAGCTCTGATTCAGATCCACGTAACTCTCAAACTCAATCTCAAATTGTGAATTTGCGGTTTACATCTCAGAAACCTCTTGTTAACCCACCCTGGTTTTCTCTTTTCCTGCAGCTTTCCTCACCTGTTCAATCAATACCCATTTTATACCGAAGAAAGAGCGTTTCTTTTTTGTGTTTATGCTTTTAAATTGCATTAATCACATCATACAATCCCTTCTGAGACAGGTGACCACGAGCAAGCCACTCAGGAGGGATGTAAAACTGGATTTATTCACTCTCACCAGCAAATATACAGTTACATTGAAGCCACACTGATTTAACAAAAACTGACTCATGGGCTTAGTATTGTATTTCCAAATTTARCAGCTGGCCATAATAGTATTTAGGGCCACACAGAACCTTTGAAAAAAAATCCCAATATAGCTTTTTTTTCTCTGCCTCTTGCTGGGTCCCTCTCTATTAAAATTACTTTTGTTACCTACAGAAGCACCATCAAGATACAAATGATTTTATGAAGATCTCATTACTAAGAGTAATTGACAAAAAACAAGCAGGTTGCACCAAATATAACCATGATTTGCATATATTYTCTGGTTCCTGCCCCGAAAATCTGTCATGGTATCAAGCACAAGTGCACAATAAGCAAATCTTCAGTTATAAATTAACTAACGTTGTTTGGAGATGGGCATATGAGCAAAGTGAGTGTTTTTATTTCATTGAGAGTGTGCTTAAACACACACACACACACACACACACATTTCACTCCCACACACTCCAAAAGACAGGTGATTCTGCCCATAAGTTCATTCAACAACAACAGGATTTTTCTCTGAATTAAATACCTAACTCAGGATATTGAGATATTATGAAATTAAGCTATWAACATTTTTATCAAGCCACTTACTGCTGCAACCCTTTTAAATGCTGGGTTAGGAAGTCTCTGGCTTCTAAACAAATAACTTCCAAATTAGTTCCAACCCTACAATTAGTGGCTTTAGTATTTTCTCCATTTTTTTTCCTGGCTTTTCCTCACAGGCTGTTAGCTTGTGATGATTACACCCAGAGCTCTCAGCCCCATTTCTCTCTGGGATTGCATCATTTCCACAGAGTCCACAAAATATTTTTGCCTCTTTTGTATCTAATTTGCATTCACAAAAATAATTTTCTGAACTTCCTCACTAAATGCTCAAGATACAAACAGAAATTAGTATTATCTTTCTCTTGTTGTTAAAGACAGCTGCATAAGAACTTTTTCTTTTCAGAATCATATAACATTCAAATCCAACTCAGGCTTGACTGCAGAGAAATAAAAAAGTGTATTTTTAAATGACATAAAACCTCTTAAATGTCATCCTTTATCCAAAATGGATAAAATTGTTCTTTCTGCTGCTGTCCTCTGCACTAGGAAAATTACACCAGTTTTTGAACACACACGCTGAGCACTGCTATCCCAAAATAAGCAGAAACAACTCTTTTAGTGTGGATTATTGCATTTATAAAACAGTTCATTTGCAGAAAGACATTGCTCTCTAACTTTATGCTCTGTTATTCCAATGAAGCTGTTGAGTCACAAATCCTATTGCTTAAACAACTCTTTTTTGTTTTAAAACAGCCACAATAAGCCCAAATACACTTCTCCAAAAATCAGTTGCTTTAAATGCACCTTATAATGCAGCTCTCCTCCTAAATGYTTTTATACCTTAGAACATTAAAGCTCTTCCCATCCTGCCCACGAGCAGCACGCAGACAGGCAGCGTGAGCAGTGTCTCTTCACATCCATCACTGCTCACAAGATGAAATTTGGCTGGAAAACCCTTCTTTCAATGTCTGCTTGACAGCCAAACACAGCTCACAAAATTAAAAGCTCTTCATGTTACAATGTTCAACACTTTTTTTATGCAAAATAAAAGAAGAGAGGATGCATTACCTTAGTGAATTGATTTCCAGAGGGTAGGATAGAGGACACAACTGTGCTGCCTCTCCAAAGAGGCAGAATCTCCTGGATTTGGCTCGGGTTTAAGAGCACATGGAGACCCAGGAAGTTCACTCTTATTTTATTGCACTCTCACAATTTGTGAAAATGAACAAGCAGCTCACACTGGTAACAAAACCCACTACAAAAATTCCACCAGGTGAATCCTGGAGAACAAAACTGCCACACCATTCCCTAGAGCTTTATTTATACACAGTGGTCAACATACAACACTTCTTATTTATTCCTAGTTATAGAAAACTTAATGCTGGGGAAAAAAAAMMCCAARCWCAAATTTCATTTTCCCATTGATTTTAGTAATAGCCATCTAAGTTAAGAAGCTCACCTAAAATACTTACTGCAGAAATGGARCCTGTTACAGCACAATAAACCTAATTCAAGAACAATTAACATTAAAAGAAAATTACTCTTTTCTCTGAGAATAAGGTGTAGAACACTCTCAGCACCAGCAAAAAAAATCCCTTTCTGTGATTCAAAGATAACACTGAGAACACCATGAATAAAATAAATTCATAACGTAACTTTACAATTCCACTCACTCTCTCACAGAAACCCCTTTGAAATGTCATTTCAAAGACCACTGCATCTGCACAGGAGTAATTTAAATTAAAATAACCAGTTTTTATAAAAGCAGAGAGGATTAGATGTGCTGCTGCCTAACAGTTCATCCCTTTTTGGGCAGAGCACAGGGGGAAAGGGACAGGGATGGGCAGGACTGAGGGTGCAGCTTTCCAAAAACAATGGAAATGTATTAATTCCTCAGGAGACTGCATGAGCAAATTTATCACAGCTCACTGGCAAGAAACTAATGCTTCACACTCCCCCACAACCTACGGGTACATCGCTCTCTTCACTCCCATCAAGATCTCTCTGATGCAAACCAAAAAACTGACAATAAGAAAAATAATTTGCAGRAGCTGTAATTAGAGAATTAAGAAGAAAAAAGAAGCGTGACAGAAAGCATGGCTASCAGGACAGTTATTATTTTTGCATTATTCATGGGTGACTTTTWAGAAGTGTGCCAAGTTCCATGGATGATGACAGGAAATCAGAAGATGCTCATGGCATAAACCTGTTTTCAGTCAACATACTCAACTATTGCTACAACTGCTTATTTGCACATTTAAATGAAAAAATACCAATGGTGTTTTACCTAATTTAGGAGAACAGCTGTTGAGAAGCCTGCCAATGCGTGGAATGTAAAATACATTTTTATTTTGTAAATTATTGTAGATTTGTGATTCTCAGCCACTGAGAAATTAATGAAGATATTGAAAGACTCTGAGAGTTACCAACTTTACTTTATCCTGGGAAGAAAAGCAAGTCCCAAGTGACTTCAGTACTCGGTTTTGTAGCCATTTTTACATCTTTTATTCCCCTTTTCCGTATCACTAGGTAACTGAAGCAGCCAGAACAAGTAATCCCTGAAATCCTCCTTTCCTTCTAGAGCTGGCCCACAGGGGAATGCTGCACACACCAGTTTAAAATAAACATTTCTAACAGGATTAACTTCCAACACGTGAAGTGCACTGATTTTTTTTTTTTTGCTAAAAGCCAGAGGAAAGAAAAACACTCACAGATTCAAAATTTTCAAAAAAGCTTCAGCTGGACTGGCAGGACAGGTAGTCCTGAAGTGACACAAGAGAATCCCAGGGAGTCCCAGAGTGATGAGGGGTTACCAGCACTCCTCATTCCCAGGGCTTTGCAGACCAACAGAAATTCACAAATTAATACAGAAATTAATACAAATGCTGATGTTACACTGCCTGGTGCAGAACACGCAATAAATTTGCTTCCTGAAATTCAGCAGTGATACCATCAATAAAATCTGAGCTCTTTACAAATACCTGTTGCAGTGCCTAGGGCAAATACATCACTGTGACTCAAAATCATCCGTGTAAATGTTATTGATGGTCAAGAGTCAGACTCAGCTCATGATGCAAAGATTCTGCTGAAGGATAAATTATCAGAGCAGATACTCAAATTAGGCTTTGAGCAGCCATCAAAGAGACTCAATGAGAGTCATCAATATTA